GTGAAGTGGTTTCATGTGGCCCGCGAAGCCATCCTGGAAACAGTGAGAGTACGGCCCCCGCTGCCTTGGCCCTGGCCCAGGCTGGCCAGGAGCTAATGTACAATTTTGTGGTGGCACCACCATCCAGCGCCACCCCCCCGCATGGCCTGAGAGGAACAGTGAGGCTCCTCCGTGGACCATGCCTTGGCACTTGCCCTGGTCCCACCCCCTTCTGCCAGAGACCCTCAGATCTGTCCCACTCCTGCCCAAGCCCCCACAGCCCCCCTTGACGCAAACGATGTAGAGCTGGCCATGCCCACCCAGTAAGCCACATACCCCGCCCCCCCCGAGAGCAACCACAATGCTTATGCGGCCCTCAATGAAATTGAATTTGACACCCTTGCTTTATATCATCCATAACTTTACTGTGGTCATCAGCTTCAATGTAAGCTACCAATTCAATGAAGCAAAATGGATCACTTTTGATTACATGTAAGAGTCTGATCTTCTGCAAGGTTTCAGCATCCTGTAATCCTATCCACTCACGTACCAAAGGTAGAGGCTGTGATGGCTATGAAGACCTTCACCAATTTGATCTCTGATGCTGGCTTATTGGGTTGTAATACTGACATCTTTTGTCAAATTCCTTTTTGATCTTTTCCTGGCTTTTGCTTCTTTTCAGTTCTTAGAAATGTATACTGTTTGTGTAAGTACTTTTATTTTTTGCATAAAATAAACCTCTTTGCTAAGGATTAAAAAAACATGATTCAGCTTCACTGAGCTGCACAAGGCGATTCACCATGACAAGGCAGTGATCCATGAAAGGGGAAGATGCCCAGATGATCACCATTCATGTGTAGAAAAATACCAGTGACTTCATAAAAGTTTCAGCTGTTTATTGTCCTTTTGATTTTGACACTAACTATAACTATATAACGTACCTTAACCATGTACAGACTTCACATACAAAAAAATTCTCTAAATCTCCAGGGACAAGAGGACTTGGCAGAAAGGTATTATTTGTCCTCTAATTAGCAAACTGAGCATTCTGCTTCTTTGGCAGTTACACAGTGACTGCTGGGAGAAAAAAAACACTTCAGAATTATTACACTTTCGAATGAGATCTCGTAATTTGTATTGTGCCACTGAAATCTCAGAGGTTCCCAGTGACCTATTTTATAAACCATCTTTTTATTTTTGTTTATAAAAAAAAACTTCCTCCTTTTCAGTGGCATTTCCCATTTGGTTAGTCAAAGGAAAAGTTCCTTGCAGAGAAGACAACTGTATTTTGTTGACCATGTACTTGAGCAGATGGGATGGTGGCTCAAGACTGCTACCATTTAAAATTACCCTGCTCTTCTTCTTCCTTCCTGACAGTGTCAATGTGAGTTTGAAATCCATCTGCATCCAGCCTTCCAATGTTCCAGGGAAGATTAGCACCTCCAGATCTCAAATGATACTTGGGGGATTTATTNAAATATAAAACCCCTAACAAAACCCAATCAAAACTACGCCAGGCCGGCCGCATGGAACAGATGAGTTTTCAGGGCTCGGCGGAAGAGGCGCAGGTCCGCAATTGTACGTAGGTCAGGGGGCAGGTCATTCCAGAGGGCAGGAGCTGCCACAGAGAAGGCTCTCCCCCTGGGGGTCGCCAGCCGGCATTGGCTGGCCGACAGTACCCTAAGGAGGCCCTCTCTGTGGGAGCGGACTGGTCGAAGGGAGATATTTAGTAGGAGGCGGTCTTGTTAGGCATTTTGAGCATGGTAGCAACTGAGAAACAGCTCTTAAAACAACATTGAAATGGAATCTGCTCATATTATAATGGATCATCTTAGAGATCTAGGAAACTGAAGAAGAGTTTTAACAGAAACTCTCAGAAAACGGGATTTTGAAAATACATCCCAAGATTATTTCCCCCATATCTCAACAAGATTTCATGCGAGGCAATGTAATTTAACACTTTTTCAATATAGCAAATGCAGGGAGCTTTTATAATCTTTATCTGATTAGTATCAAAATCCAAAAACTTAAATTGAATAAAGTACAGTTATTTCTACTAAACTCTTAAAAGTAGAATTAGAAAAAAGATTATAATTATATGACATTCCCATTCATATCATTCTCACCAAATTTTTTATTAGCTGATATCAGTGGGTGAAGAAAAGAATAAAAAAAGATGAACAGATTTGAAAGAATATTGGTGTTGCTCAAACACTTTTTACAGCAGTTCTAAAAGGAACTAGAAAGAATTTCATACAATATTCTTGGGAAGACCTTTTTACAACAATAAAGGAAGGAAGCTGCAAAATGTCAGCAAAATGTGCACTAAAAGTTTATTTTATGATCATATAATTTACTGCCCAAGATTAACATGTATCCATCCAATGTTGACTGATGAAGTTTAAATGTCAGGAGATGACTTTATGAAAAAGTGGAGCATCAGTCAGGGCTTTAAACTAGCCTCTACAAAATTCTTGCCTGGAGGTTTAAGCCTTGCTGAAAGTTTTCTTCTATAGGTTTTGATTAGTTCCTAAGTTATTCATAAGATTAATACTCATTAAGTGATTAAGAGAAATTCCATTAATTTCACTATACCAGCTTCAACAAAGAGTAAATCTGACATAGCCTCTTGTTCCAGGGTCAAAAAGCAACTGCTTTTTATAAGTGTCAAGAATTCAGTAGTTAGAGATTTAGAATTAGTAGAGTTGTCACAAAGATGCTTTTTCCAAAAGGAAACTGGACTTTCTTGTTTTTTCTTTGAAAATGTTTCATTTCTCATCCAAGAAGCTTCTTTAGTTCTCAGATCTGACGCATCTTTGGCACAACTGTGACCTGGATGATTGAGAATTTCCATAGACAACTGGTAGAATTCAACTACAGTCTCATAATGGAAAGGCACATGAATATAAATGACTTCTGATTTGGAAAGACAGAATCCATGCTGCATCACAAAGGATTGGGGGTCCATGACTCTTATTCTGTTGCTCAGCTATCAGTGGCTATTGAGGCAGTCGGAATAATGTGCCAAGTGGAAAATCCTCTTTCATTGGAATCCAAAATTAATCTTCTCTGCCCAAATTCCTGAAATTATCTACAGTGTTTAAAACTAGTTTAATTCTTTTGTGATATAATTATCTGCATTTGTGCACTTTTATTTCAGACTGATTCCCAAAAACTTCCAGCATTTACTTTCTATGTATTTTGCTGTTCGTGAGATCAACACGAACATCAAGCAGTTCCCCAACATCACAGTAGAACTGGAAATTTATGAAACCCGTTTTATTGTCAGGGAGGCCAGTAAGCATGTTTTAGACCTTCTATTTCTGAACCGAGAGAGTCCTGTCAACTTCAATTGTGCCAGAAGGAGCAAGACAGACTTCTTGCCTGTCATTGGTGATCTCCCCTCTACCACCTCCATCCAGATGGCCCACATTTTGAACACATATAAGTTTCCACAGGTACGACCATTTTTCATAGATCTTTTGCAAAAATGGTCAAAGAAGAACTCTGTTCTTTTGGTAAACCTTAGCTTCCCTCAGTTTTAGCCAACCTATCCAATGCTGGGGGGAAAAATGGACAATGAAATCTGCAGCCTTTCCTAATTAAATGTTCTCGAAGTCTTCTGTTATGAAGTTTATGATCTCCTTCAGTGTAAATCTTGATGACAAATGTTTGGTTTTCGTTATTTAATCATAATCTCAGATTAGTGTCCGATATTCTAAGGAGAATGGAAAGCTCTGTGTTCTTCAGGAGCACACAGATTCTCAATAAATTTTTCTATGCATATTTCTTCCTAACAGCTTAGTTATGGCTCTTTTGATCCAGCCCTGAGTGATAAAAGACAGTTTCCTTCCTTTTTCAGCATGGTTCCCAGTGAAAATGTACAATATGACGGCATTATTCGTTTACTGAAATATTTTCAATGGAACTGGATTGGCCTCTTAATATCAGAGGATGAGGGTGGAGAAGCCTTTCTTCAAAATCTCCAACAAAAATTCTTTCAGAATGATATTTGCATTGCTTGGATGCAGTTGGTTCCGCTTTTGAGAAATCGATTGTTAAGTGTGGATGCCATTTCTGCATATATAGCAAACATAAGAGACACTATCCTAGGGAAGAATATCAGTGTGTTCCTTGCTTCTGGGACTGTCCAATCTATGGAGGCTTTACAAATAGCTTTATATTCCTCTGAAATCACATTTATGAAGCCAATAGATCACAGAGTGTGGATCGGAACCTCTCAGTGGGATTTCACTGTTAAGACTTTCCCATCAGGGAGTTTCCCAACCCAAACTTTCAATGGTTCCTTGCACTTCTCACTTCACACAAACAAGGTGCCAGGATTTCAGGAGTTTCTTGAGAGCCTAAACCCTTTCTCAAATGCCTTTCCTTACATGAAATGGTTCTGGCACTCTGTATTTCACTGCTCACTCCCTCCATTTCGCCAAGGAGCAAAACGCTGCACAGGGAAGGAAGAACTAGCGAGAGTCCCTGGCTCTGTGTTTGAAATGTCCATGTCTGGAGAGAGCTACAATATTTACAACGCGGTTTATTCTGCAGCATATGCTCTGCAGACAATGCATTCAAGAAGAGGAAAGCCAGCTTCATTGAGGAATCAGAATGAAGCAAATTCTAATTTGCAGTTTCAGCCATGGCAGGTATGTCATCGCTGTTTTCAGATATACATGTGTAAGTCTTGAAGGGGATGGGAAGGTAATCAGCCACATAAAGAATCTGGATTTGATCCTCTACAGCATGGGGGGGGGGGTCCTACATATTGGACAGAGTACTTTAAATGAATAGAATAAAATAGAGCTGGAAGGGACCTTGGAGGTCTTCTAGTCCATCCCCCTGCTTAAGCAGAAGAACCAATACCATCTCAGACAAGTGACTGTCTAGCCCAGGGGTGTCAAAATGCCAAAACCGCTCCCACCCCATAGCCAGCAACGGAAAAAAAGTTACGATGCATCGTGACACGTCACGTGACATTGCGAGTTTGACACCCCTGGTCTAGCCTCTTCTTAAAAATCTCCAGTGATGGAGTGCCCACAATGGTTGGTGTCATTGTTGTCACCACGTGGGTGAGGATTTATATATATTTTATATTTATTTTGTAAGCTGCAAGAGTTGCCATGAGTTATGTGGGATGTCCTGTTTCCTCCTATTACATATTTTTGAAGCAGTGTGAAAAAAGAATTGTTGAGAACTCTTATATCAAGAATGTAATGTTGAGAACTCTTATATCAAGAATGGCTATGTCTACTGAATGTCTATTGAAATATTTCAGGTAAGAGTAAATGGTTGGATTTGATATTACTGAAATGGGTTGTTTTGTATGGGATGAAGAAATGAGTGAATTCCACAATTTCAATTGTCTTCTGTAACAATTCTGATAACCTCCACTAGAGAAGCTCTGTTGAGATTCTGAATCTCACCCCAAATTTAAGATAATCCTAGT